CTCGCATGCATGCGTCCACACCCTGCCAATACGTCTTGCAGCTCCCTGTTTGTGCACCAATTACCTGCTGGTTCCTTTTTTCAGACAAGGCAACGGAATTACGTCTCCAACGGCACTCTGGCGGCTCCAGTCAGAGTTCTCTTGATCAGCCAACAGCAGAGGGCGTGCGCACACTGATTTTCACAGAAATTTCGGGATTCAAGAACGGTAAGCGACTGTCAGGCAAGCCATACCCAGCCCCTCTCTCGCTCCGCCCATCATTCTGCCTTTTCAAACGAAAGCAATTCATCATCCCTACCAGTCCTCTGAGGAGAGTTTTTTTTTAATTTGGGCCCGCCTGCGGGATCCCTTCCACTTTTACCCCTTCCCTTGGCCATAGTCAACTTTTTCAGGATCCGTCAGTGGTCTTCATAAAGTGTTACCTAACATCCACTGTACTGGCGAGTTTGGCTACAACACTTCTACCTCCATCTACGTCTGGTCAACCGCTACACGCGGGTTTCAGCAAGCTTGACTTGGACTTGCCGCTTAGCTTCCGGAAGAGAGCGAAAGGGGTCCTTCCAGTTCGGGCTTATCGCTTTACTCCCTACTTCAAGCAATGCAACCTCCTTATAACCATCGTGATGCGCTAATAGTCGTGCCTTGGAACGTTTTTAGGTGACAAGATAACCCACTCCCCTCCCCTTCCTTCTCCTCCCCCTCCTCCTTATTCCCCCCTTTTTTATTCTCATCACTTCTTCTCTCGTTTATTTCTTAATTTTAATGCATTATCTTTAGTCATCTCTATAGTCGATTTTCAATAGTCAGTCAAATTTTGGATACAAGTGTTGGACTTATAATATCAGTGCTGTTTGCGTAGTCCTTTAATTTCGGGCTAAATTTACTATGCACACAAATCTCTGCGCTTTGATCTCGGAACAGACACTAAGTAAGGCTCACCTCACCAGCTCGTCCCCTTGCTTTCTCATTTCGCTTCGGGCAGAATTCGGCGCTGCCGAATACTCCACAATATTTCTTATCGACCTGACGAAAAAGTTGCCCCCTTTTATTTGCTCGTAAATCAAAAAGGACGCAAAACTGGAGGTTGAATGGTCCACTGATGTGCCGAACCTCTGACAGCTGTGCCATGCAGCGAGCAAGGTCGGCGAAACACGCGTGTCTGGGCTTTTAGCCAATACCTTTGCAGTCAGCTAGGGTTACTCCCACAATATTTGACTAAGATGCTTCTAATGGGAACTTGACAGGTCTACTCTCGACTTCCACGACGGCAGCTGATATGGACTTGTGCAGCGCAATCTCTCGCATTTCCCGCCTCTAAGGTCAACCGAAAGTATGCTCTGTGCACAAGTCGTTGTCCGACTTTGTCGCTCAAAGCTATTTAAGCCTCCTCTGAAGTTCTGAAACTCCATAAAGAGGGAGGCTTTTTGGCCTAAAGAGCACGCTGCCAGAGGGCCAATCTCTAAAGGAACACTAAGGTAGATGACGTTTTTTCTTGTGAAACCAACGGAAAATACCGTTTTTTAGCCTTCGTACAAACGGCAACCTTTCTGTTGTAGCCTCCATTTATTGACTTTTATAACGGGCCGGCAGGGGTCGGTTAAACTGTCCGGATACCGAGTGTAAACGCAGCGTGGGCAATGAAAATAAAGTAAACCCCGAAGGAGGATGCTGAAATCGTTAGTGGCGAAGTAAGGGAAAAGGGTAGCCTGACGTTTCGGTCTAGAGGTAGGCTTAGTTTTAGGGTTTGGGTTAGTGACAGGCTGAGAATTGAATTTAGGGTTAGGGCTTGTGTTTAGTTTAAGGGTTTTACTTAGAGTCAGGGTTTGGATTGATGTTTACATTTACGTTTGGTTTTAAGGTTAGTTTTAGGGTTAGGGTTACGACTACGGTTAAGGTTAGTGTTAGGGTTATTGTTAAGGTTGGGGTTAGGGTTAGGCTTTGGGTTAGAACAAGATTTAGGGTTAGGTTCAGGGTTAGTGTTAGCGTTAGGTTTATAATTACGTTGAAGTTTAGGTTTTCTTTTTAGGTTACGGTTAGTCTTAACGTTAGGCGGGAGGTATTGCTGCCCCCCGCGTCCTGACAGCCAGGCCTTTTGCGGACATTCTAGGCCTCCTTCATTCTCGCGGCAGATTCGTCATACATCAGGTTGCCTTTTCCATTTTAGCTTCTGCTACTTTCTCCCCACTACCGATTTTAGCATCCTCTTTCGGCTGACTTGACCTTCAATGCCCACATTGGGCTTACACCCGGGACTCGGACAGCGTAACCGACTCTTTCCGACAGGCATGATCACTTCCAAGCACCCTCTCCCCCCTTTTTGTGCCTTTAGACACCACTTCCACCGCGCACCTCTGGGTTGGAACAAGTCGCGGCGTCTTCTTCACCCTGACTGTCAATCCTTCCGACGACTCTGCCTCCTCCTTATCCACCTGCAGTGTCGGAGGTGAGTGACTGGCTGCCCATCTTTGTGGATAAAGGCGGGGAGCTGGAACGACCGTTTCTTTTCTTACTAGCCATCATCAGCCAACCACGCCGAACTTTACATCTGGATAACTTGGAATTCGAACCGAGATCCCTGGGTCACTGAACGTTAAGTAGTTGAGCGCTCTACCATTGAGCCACCGATCCGTTGCCCTACTAACATCAAATGAGTTGGATGCTGAAATGCGTCTGAATAAGAAGACCACTTGAAACGGTATACGTCCCTAACATTCATCTTCTCAGCAGGGCTATTCTCACTCTAAAACTTTCCTGTCCACCCATTCGTTGTCGGCAGGGAGTACCAGAAGGAGCTTCACACAGAATGGCTTTTGAGAAAGCATCCTGTTTGTCGACGCTTCGGCCCACTTCTAACAGGCGCTCCCATTGAGCATTATCGGTCTACAATTAGGATATTGCTCTTATCTAAAGTAGAACAGCCTTCCGTCTCCTGTGTACATGACCTGCGAATCATCATTCTAACGAGGCGACTTCCTTCCCTATAATTTGTTCAGGTTCCTTATTCCGACTGGAGGGTGAGGCTGTGTCGATCGCTTTCCTCGATTCTCTTGGTGAGATCTGCGTTCCACCAGCGACTAAGTGGGATCTCG